TCACTTCGACCACATCCACAACCACGAAAACACTGCAATACACAGCACATTCTGATGTGCGGGCATTTGGCGCGGGCAAATAGAGGGAGGGGGGGGGGGGCGTACAATTAGGGACCATATATCCCCAATTAAGGGTACAAGGAAGTTCCTAGTACAGATGCAAACATAGTTCCGTCTCAATCCATACGATGGGTGTGTGCACAGACATGAATGACCAGTGACTACATGCATGCATAGACGCGCCCAAGCTCCGGCATGTTGTCATATACAGGCCCGAGCACAGACGCCTCAAGATCCCGAAGCCGCCATGGCGAGTCCAATCAAGCCAGATGCCGCAGAAAGCTGCCAATATACTATAGCAGCTTCCATTTTCTTTTCCATTATCCCTATATTACCCCAATAAATAATATACCCAAATCCATATTCTATCTACTTCAGGGGCACGAGGGTGCTGGTTAGGAGGGGGGCATGTGGCAGTGGTGTGGAAGTAGTGGTCTTGACACGAGGAGAAGTGGTAGGAGCTTGGAGTGTGGGGAATAGGAGAAGTTGGACCGTTAGGAGTCGTAAGCCATCAGATTGACAGACCATAACCCTAAACCCTAAATCCTAAACCCTAAGCCCTCAATCCTAAACCCTAAATCTTAAACCCTAAACCCCTAAAACACACTCTATACGTACGCAGCGGACCTGAAGGCCGGTAAGGAACATTAGAATGCCTGAGTAAACCCATGGGAAATTTGATATTTTTCCTAATTAATGGCTTTAATAGGGGACCTTATATACAAATGGTGGTTTCCCATAATTAGGTGTACCATTTTGGGGGTCCCAATCATAAGGATTATAGTGTATTGGGGTCTAAATTGGGGTGCCCATATTTTGGGAAAGTACCAAATATTTGTCAAAGGGTCTTAGGGGCCAACCCAGATAAACCTTCGAGGTCCATTCCCAGTTGCCATGCCCTTGCTCTCTTGAAAGTTGCAGGGGCTTGGTATCAGCTGAAATTATGTTGGGTTTGGCATGGCCGCTTCTTCCACAAGGAGCAAAGGTTGGGGTCTTGAGATGTGCTAGGAGCATGCTTTGGCCTTCCCGATGCCGAATCTGTAGCTCAAAGACGCTTGAGGTCCCAAAGTCCAAGCATGTCCAAGCCTTAAACCCACGCAGAAAACTAATCGCGAAGGTTTAGGTTTTTGGGTTCTGGGTTGAAATACCCCAAGAACCAGAAAGCCCAGCACACCCATGGCGCACCCCTGGAATCCACCAAATTGCTGTGGGAGTTTGTGAATGTTGGGCTTTCTCTATCCCCAGCCAAACAAAGTGCTCCTTGTTACTGCTGCTCCCCGAACAGAACCCAATGATCCCTGAAAGCTGGCATCCAAACGCAGCCATCTTCTCACCCTCAACAAGGTGCTAATGACGGCAGTGATCCTGTATTAGGAAAGCATCAGGGGATGATCATCAATCGTAAGCGGTACGGTATGGCTTCTTTTATTGTGCGTGCTCTGACACTAGCGGAGCTGGTTGCAATTGGCATACCTAAGCGAGTGCCTCGCTCTTGTCAAACTAGCGCTTCAACCCACAACAACAAATCCTTAACTTGACACAGCCTATGCTTTTCAAAGCCTACAGCAAAACCTGAGAAAATGTAATCTCCTGAGCCCGAGGCTTTCGGATGCTGGAGGCGCGTGAGAACTACTCCGACGATGACATAGGCTTGTGGCCCTGGCTAAGCGAGCTTAGGATTTAGGATGGTTTAGAGTCGAGGGGTTCGTGGTGTAGGATGCAAGGAGGTGGGGGCTTAGGGGCAATTATAATCAAACCTGGGGGACCGACCGGCGCAACAAGCCATGATTACAGAAGCCGTCACCTCTAAGCCGGGTTTTTGGGACCCGGAAATCTCCGCTCTTGTGTTTCCTTAATGCTCAAATTCTTCGGTGGCCTTGGTCTCAGCTTTGTTGCATGCTTTATAGGGAGGTTTGGGTAGATCGCAAGTTTTCAAAGGCTTGCATGTTCTGATTCGGGGCCATGCAGGGCCGGCGCCATGCGGGGATGTTTAGGGATGTCTTTGAGGTTTTGGATATGGGGTATAGGTTAGGAGGACCCCCACCCTGTAATAGTGGTATGATAGGAATATGAAAGGACCCCAAACTGGTCCTTATTATTCCTTCTTGCAGTCACCATTACTGGGTGGGGCGTCCACCTCAGGTTTAGGGCGTCTTGGGATGGTATTTGGGCCATCCCGGAATCTCTGAAATCAAGGCTGTATAATTTGGGTATTGCTCCCACTCTGTAGCAGTTGGATAGCATGTGTGATATAGTTGTATACAGCTGTTAATATGAACCTTAATATGGACCGTTACAGGGTTGGGGCAGTACCCAATGTATACTTCGTGCCACAGGGGATTTTGCGCGTGCAAGCTTGGAGGGGGGGTCCTCCACTACGTGTATTAAGTTTTCCCGCTGAAGTCGCAGAGAATTTGTGAGAATGCACCGATAGGCACTGCATGTTCATTGTTTGGTAAGGGTGGTTCTTCTACGGAAGGGACCAGCAATACAATATTTCGAAGGGGCAGAGAGGTTTCCATTGGCCATGGACTCCGTTGATGCCCATAGAGCTGACAGGGGGCCTCCTTAGCTTGAAACGGGCGTTTCCCAAATGATGCCTGCATCCATTCCATCCATTCTGCAGGACCCCTCAGAATCCCCAGAAAATCCACATATATCCCAGTCCCCAAGAGTACAATTTGGAGTTCAGGAGATGAGTAATTGGGTGCGTCATTCGCTTGACACCTTCATCAGCCCCCTAAACCCTTAACCCTAAACCCTAAACTCAGCCCTAAACTTCAAGAGTAACGGTCTCTTGACAGGCAAGGCCCCTGTGAAACAGGAATGGAGGGAGCCACTTGGCTTTAGGCTTTAGGGTTTAGGGTTTAGGGTTAGGGGCTGTAGGCTGATGGTCTCCGAGATTGTCCGAGTTTACTTACTTTTTGGTGGTTCGTAGGGAAGGAAGCAATGGAAAAGGGGGATGGTTTTGGGGATGTTTTCGGGACTGATAACTCGTCAGCAATGAGTTAGAGTTCACGGTTTGGGGTTCCGGGCTTTCAGGGTTCAAGGACTGGGATGGCTTTGTGTTGCCGGTCATGCTGCTAGCAGAGTCTTGTCCAACCTGGCCAACAGAAAGCCCTAAGCCCTAAACCCCAGAGGCGTTCCTTGGAAGCCAAGGCTGTACAGAGCAGTATTTGAATAGCCAGAGGGTATCAAGGGAAAATCTTCAGCCTCTGAACTCCAGGGTTAAGGGACTCGGGTTCAGTGCTTTTGGTTTAGGATTTGAGGTTAAGCCCTATTTAGCCCTAAAAGCTCTAAACCCCCTTGTCCAAAGTTCTGAGTTGAGACTACTTCACACATAGCGTTGAGGGAGGTCGCCCAAGCGTTTCCTACTCCAAACCCAGCGTCTTTGGAGTCAGACGGTTTTTCAGGATCCTTTTAACTGCACTAAGGCTTAGGGTCTAGGGTATGTTTTTGAAGAGAACGAAGGCCGCGTCCCGAAACGCAGAGAAGCGGCGATAGCAGTTTACAGATAAATCCAACTCCTTGACAGCGTGGTTGACTATAAGAGGGTTTCCGAGCTTCGGGGGTATCATTTTGGTGGGTCCCAATAATAAGAACTCTAATCGTTGTGTTGGGTCTTTAGCCCCGTATCCCTGGAGACTTATTAAGTTCCAAGACTATCAAAGCAGCCAAAAATCCAGCAATCGTTTAGTAGTAAGTAAGGAACAAATGATTCAGTACAGGGACTACATACTATAAGGGGTTACAAAGGGACTACTACAGCCACCAAGTCATTCACTCTCTGATAACCACCAGTATGAAAAGGAACAAATGGCGAACGTACATCCTGAACAGCAAAGCCCCTTTCAGCCCAGAAACTGATCACCTCCTACTACTAAATAGCCTCCGCGGCAGTTCGCCGATTAGGGTTTTAGCGCTCAGCGCTACCATACAATACAATATGGCATCATATTTGCAAAGTGTAGCATGGGGGAAGTGGGGTTTTACTGTTGCGGGAGCGTATTCTTAGCTGAGGAAGATGTTGGTTCCGGTGGTGTTCGTGGCGTTCGTGCTGATCCGGGCGATGGATCGCATTTTCCTCTACAGAGTTCAGAAATCCATGGAGCACTACACAGGCCATAGCTCCAGCGCTTAGGGTTTAGGGTTGTAGGCCTGTGATAAATAAACCTCTGCTCCATGAGGAATCAAACCATGATCTCTAGTTGTTATTGCGGTGCGGATTTAGTTTTACCAAGGGTTTATGGGGCCGGGGTATGGGGAAGCTTCGGAGTTGTGGAGATGAAGGGCAAGACTGCTCTGATTGAGATTCTTGCAGAGATTTGGAGACAACATAATGAATCCCAAAGAGGTTTAGGACATTTGACTGTTGTAATCAACAAATCGCCAGAGGGATGAGCCATCTGGGACCTTTACTACTTTGTGCCTGGAGGTACTGGTAACAGTAGTAGTTCTGCTAGTAGTAAGAGTAGAAGACTAGGAAAGTAGTGGTAATTAGTAGAATAAGGGACCTGGAATTTACACAGTCTAGGCTGAGGATCAATTCCATCCCCAAATATTGCTGTCAGCCATACTTAATAGTTGGACCCCTATTATATTTGAGTAGTTGCCATTTTCTTTTCCATTATCCCAATTGTATATATATATATGTGTAAATACATACATACATACATACATACATACATTACTTACATACATACATACATACATACATACATATATATATATATATGTATAGATATACCCTGTAATCCCTATGTGACCCCAGTAAGCCTCAAAACTCAAACTTGAGAAGCGTGAATCCGCCCCTTCCGCCTGGCAAGGCATCGTCATGAGCCTCTACTGGCCACCAATGGTGGCTGGGTCGCACTTAGCACTGTTCCCCCCAAAGCTCTAAACGCTAACCCCGAACTCCAGCTTCAGGTAGACAAAATCTGTACATCGCTTTGCGAGCATCGCCCGAGGGAGCAGAAGGGTAAAATTCAACTTGCTATGAGATAGGTTTTGGCAGGAAGCACATAGCAATAAGATTCACAAAGCCGAATCCTCCCTAAGACCTCTGCTCCAGGACCTGATCAGCATGTCCCAGCCAGGCGGGTTCCCCTCCCCGCCACGCCCCAAACTACACCGTTCCCCCCTTGATTAGCCTTAATTATTGTATGTATGCCTAGTTAGCCTTAAAGAGCCCGACTTGAGGGGAGCCTAGATGGGGTTACCCATGACCACGTCAAGGTGCAGCTCATGTGCTTCTTCGTGTCCTTGGGCTATATTGCACGAAAGCGCTACATGGACGGCGACAAGTCCTACAACATGAGGCGCCGTCAATGTCGATTATTAGTATTATTATTATTATTAGTAGTAGTAGTAGTAGCAGTAGTAGTAGTAGTGGTGGTGGTGGTAGTAGTAGTAGTAGTAGCAGTAGTAGTAATAGGAGGAGGAGTAGTAGTAGTAGTAGTAGTAGTGGTAGTAGTCGTAGTAGTACTAGTAGTAGTAGTAGTAAGCATTGTTATCACTAGTTCAAACTAGTATTAGTATTAGTGGTAATTGTTGTTCTTACCCATCGTAGTAGTAAATCAGTGTCAGAAGTTTTGCAGCACTGTAGGCGAATCCAGGAACTGCAGTTGAGGGATCCTAGATGGAGCATCCCGGATAGTGCAAGACGTAATTTTGGGAAACTCTAATCCCTATAAACCCCTATATATCCCAGTTTCCATTTCATGTTCCATGTTTATCCATTTGATTCTCCATTATTGAACCCGATACCCCTGTACATCCCAAGTTCTCCAATCAACCCTTAACCCTAAAACCCAACAATTGGGCAACGTCCTGAGGTTGCGGCATATTCATGTCTATTAAAATATGTAGGAAACATTGACTGCAGCTCATGCAACCATGGTCCTTATCTCTGAGGGTCTATACGGTGTCAGGATGCATGTAAAGGACCTAGGTTTGACGCTAGCACTGCTTGCTCTCTGGTTGTCAGTTCCTTTCTGGTGGTTAGTAGGTTCCTTAACAGCAACCCAGGTAGGCGGCATTTGACGGATCTCATGCGGAATTGCTTAGGAAGTCAGATTTCGGCTTTAGGATGCGATCTGGAGATCGTGGACTCTTCTTGTTCTCTTTAATGAGGGCTGTGTAGGGTCCTTACTTGTGGGATTTTAGGTTTGTGGTTAGAGTGCGTGGGCTTCAAGTTTAGGATGTGTAGCTGATTATGTCGGGCGTGTGGGTGACGTATGTCCAAGACGAATTCATCCTTTCAAGCTTACTGGTAGTTAGTATGGAATAAGGGTATATAGTACATGCGCATTATGTGGGGATATGTAAGGGATTAGAATACCGTAATAAGTATCACCCATAGTGTACTATATACCCATTCCTACATCCCCGTATGGTAACTTACGCTAAGGTCGGTCCTTAACAGCAACCCAGTTGCAG